AGGATCTCATGTGACCCGGAACCATCTAGAAACATTACAGACATTGCTATGCGTTCAGGAATATCCCGAATGTCACCTTCTGTGTGAATGAGACCTTATGAGTTCCATCTTTAGAGCACCATGTGACTGATCCCCCCTTCCATGACCCCCCCATTTCTATATACAGCACCATGTGATTGATTCCACCCCCTTCCTATGACACCCCCCCCATTTCCCTATACAGTACCAATAAGGGACCCCACGTCTCTATGCACAACATCACGTGACCACCCCCCTCTGCTAGGGACCCCACATTTCTCTACATATCACGTGACTGCCCCCCTCTGCTAGGAACCCCACACCTCTATACACAGCATCACGTGACTGATCCCCTCATCCTCTCCAGCCGCAGGAGGACACACACCGCCCCCCAATAATAAAGGCCTCTGGTGGTCCCTTGTGTAGTGCACCCCTCTGTCAGTACATACCTGCGCTCAGCGCTCGTAGTCTACGCTCTGCTCCAGCCCAGCCCCCGGCCCGTCTCTTCTATAGACGCAGCTCCACCTCCAGAACCTTCCAGATCTTTCTTCCGCACTCCAGAAGCTACGTGAGCTGGCTGCTTCTCCTAGCCAATCACAGCCCTCGGGGTACGGGCGCAGACCAATCGAAAAGAGCCGCTACGTAGAGCCAATCAGCGCTCCCCGACATGTACTGTGTGTTTTCAAGGGGTGAATGTCACGCCCCCGGCGGTTCATTGGCTACTTAGAGGGCTCTGTCCAATTCTCAGCCAATAAAGGTATAGAGCAGGGAGGTGTTTATTTTGGAATATCTGGCGGCCATGTTGGGTAAGGGCAACGTGCCCATAATTTACATCGGAGAGCGCATGTACAATTGAGAAATTGACTTACAATTTGCACGTAGTAAACTATATTGCAGCTCACCAGTATATAGATGAGGCAGCTGTATTGCTTTTTTTTATGCCCAGGCTAGAGCATTTTCAGCAAATACGTCATATTCCTGTTAATCCTGCCAGAAACCCAGGGGGGAATTTATCAAAACTGGAGCAGACAAAATCTGGAGCAGTTGCCCATGGCAACCAATCAGCTTCTCTCATCAGTTTGTTCAGTTAAGATTTGAAAATGAAAGAGAGAAGCTGATTGGTTGCCATGCATAGCTGCTCCAGATTTTGTCTGCTCCAGTTTTGATAAATTCCCCTCCCAATGTCCTTGTTACTTCCTGCAGGCAGAACTTTCCAGTTCCTTTCCACTTCTCTTCTGTAAACTACAAAACACTCCTCCCCTTGTGTTATGGTATAGAGGAGGCAGTAATGTGATCTGTAGTCCTTTTCTAGGGTGACAATGCTGCCACCCTAGGACAGGAAGTGGGTTACTGGCGGGGAAGGATTACGGTTAGGTGACCACGCTCAAAACAACTTTGAAAAGGTAAAAGAAGGGCAGCCATGGCGTCTCAGGTTGCTAAGAGCCCATAGCAACCTGTGACGCTCTGTCCGGCTTTGCGGCAAAGTAGCATTGAAAGGGGAATAGCTGTTAGTTCCTACCGGGTGTGAGGGGCCAGGAATGGCGGACGCGGTGGGATGGGCGGCTCTATCGGGTCCTGCCCAGCTCACTGACGTCATCCGTTGCCAGGGAACTGAGCGGAAGGCTATGGGTGGCATCCTGCCGGGCTCCTGGCAACTATTGACATCAGTGAGCTGGACAGGGGCCCGACAAAGCCACCCGTCCCACCGCGTCCGCCATTCCCGGCCCCTCACACCCGGGGGGAACTAACAGCTATTCCCCTTTCAATGCTACATTGCCGCCATTATCATAACATTAGGAAAAGGTGAAGTCAGGATGACGAGGGCACAAATTATCACCACAGTGACAAAACTGGAGAAGACATAACCTGGAGCAGTTACCCATGGCAACCAATCAGCTTCTCTTTTCAGTTTGTGTCTTAAAAATGAAACGGAGAAGCTGATTGGTTGCTCCAGGTTATGTCTGCTCCAGATTTTATGAATTGCCCCCCATTGGGTTCATGGGTTCCATTGAATGTCCCTCTGCGTCCTGCCGTCTAATGCGAATCAATGGACTTGCATAAGACGTGATGACGTCATGGGTCCTTAGACCGCCGGAGCGTGGGGGAAGGAGGCTGCAGGGACCGGTCTAGCAGCCTGCCGGCACTTTTGTCCCCTGGACCAAAATGAGCAAATAACCCTTGCAGCGCTGGGGAAGCCCCACTGCATGGGTTCATTTTTATATTTCCTGGAGTTCTTCTTTAAAGCGGACCTTTACCCCCTTTGACTAATAATCACACCAGCATACAGCTCTGCACGCTGATATAAAATCATCTCACATCCAGTAGATAAACACATTTTTCTTTCCCTTACACTTATTATTTTTCCTCTTCCTGGTCCTCTTCGGCATCAGTGATGTAATCTGTGCCCAAGCGTTGCATCCTGGGAAGGTGACATCAGCAGAGCATTGCTGGGAAATCTCATCTGTAATCTCACGAGATCTCAGGGAAAGGCATTTCTGCTCCCCTGAAATGATGGGCATGGTCACATGTCCTAGTCACATGTGCCGGAGGGTCAGGAAGTAAAATAGGAGAGCTAGTCATCTGCCCTTAGTAAAAATGGCCGCTGGGAGAAGACTGGGGAGGAAAAGTTAAAAAAAAAAAGGAGTGCAAAGAATACAAAGACGGCAATGATCTAGAAGTATCTGGGTGTAGATCGTCATCACTAAACATTTCTAAAGGTGACTTTGTTGTCATTTCCAAGATCTGGGTGACATTCCTCTGTACCATTGGTGTGCTGGGGACATATCTGTTATCAGACATCCCAACCTGCAAAACCTTATTTCAGGGAGGTTCCCGTATCATTTCAGGGAGGTGCCCTTTCTGTTTTTTGTTTTTTTTACAGCGGCCGTCGTCAGAATATAAAATAAATAATAATGATAATAATAATATATATACATACACACACAGTAAAATAAAATCCATATAACAATAATACAATAACATTATATATTTATTTATATATACATCAGATTTGTGAATTGATGTTCAAGTATCTGTCAGTGTAAAGGTCACCATTTATTAGAATGGATTCATGTGGCGCCATCCACAAGTTGCTGCAGCACCCGCAAAGAAGGGGGGTACATCAGTCAGGTGTGCGGTGGGAAATCTACATGGATGTAATTACTGAAGACTCCCTCCCCCCCCATGCAGCCCTAATAGTGATGTACTGCTGTAGGGACGTGCTGGACGGAGTCATAGTGACAGGAAGTGCGATGACATTACTACACTGACATTACTACACTGACAGGAAGTGCGGTGACATCACTACACTCCCCATCACTACACTGGCAGGAAGTACGGTGACATCACTATACTGGCAGGAAGTGCGGTGACATCACTACACTCCCCATCACTACACTGGCAGGAAGTACGGTGACATCACTACACTGACATCACTACACTGGCAGGAAGTGGTGACATCACTACACTAACAGGAAGTGTGGTGACATTACTGCACTGACATCATAACACTGGCAGGAAGTGCGGTGACATCACTACACTCCCCATCACTACACTGGCAGGAAGTACGGTGATATCACTATACTGGCAGGAAGTGCGGTGACATCACTACACTGACATCACTACACTGGCAGGAAGTGCGCTGACATCACTACACTCCCCATCACTACACTGGCAGGAAGTGCGGTGACATCACTATACTGGCAGGAAGTGCGGTGACATCACTACACTCCCCATCACTACACTGGTCGCCTCAGGTGGGAAAAGACCAAGGGGCACTCCTGCTTGCCATCCCCTCCATTCCAGCATCTTTCCTCCAACAAGGTCCCAGATAGTTTCCCAAACTGTGCATGTGCTCCATGGCCCCATGCATCACTATGGGTAAGCCGTACTCCGAGGGGCCACCATGAGTGCAACGGTGATATCACTATACTGGCAGGAAGTGCGGTGACATCACTACACTGACATCACTACACTGGCAGGAAGTGCGCTGACATCACTACACTCCCCATCACTACACTGGCAGGAAGTGCGGTGACATCACTATACTGGCAGGAAGTGCGGTGACATCACTACACTCCCCATCACTACACTGGTCGCCTCAGGTGGGAAAAGACCAAGGGGCACTCCTGCTTGCCATCCCCTCCATTCCAGCATCTTTCCTCCAACAAGGTCCCAGATAGTTTCCCAAACTGTGCATGTGCTCCATGGCCCCATGCATCACTATGGGTAAGCCGTACTCCGAGGGGCCACCATGAGTGCAGCTTACCCATAGGAATGCGTGTGCAGAATAAAGAGGAGCGGGGGTTAAGGCTTTTCCCCATAGGTCTCCTTAGGGTAACGGGAAGACACGAACTAGCGTCCTCCCATCACCCTAGGCTCAGTATACCGCGAGCTACAGCTCTCTATATACT